AATAACCAACATACAAAGACAGGAACTGAACAGGTATTGGAAGAAACTGATGAGGATTTATTGAGGGAAATCCTTGATGAAATCTTAGTAAAAGAAGATAATTCATAAATTCAAGATATATATAGCACCAAGAAATGACCCTTGTGGAACATCATTATTATTATGTAGGTTACTTTTTACTCATTTCAGTTATTTTATATGTGAGAAAGAGATCATAATCAGATGAATTTAGTATTATTTATTGATAATTTTGTAGGAAACACTAATATCAATTTGATATTATCACAGAATGATACATTTCATAAATTGTAAGGTTGGCGGCCATCTTGAATTTTTTTTATTTTTGTCAAGAAACATTTCTGGAACCTTACATATTGGTATACATCATATTAAAACTCTATTATAGAAAAAACAGCAAGATTTGTTTATGTGTTAGCTAGTTTTCTGTTCTAATATGCTGGCTAAAATACACAAAACGTGTGAAAATTCAAAATGGCCGCCAAAAAAATTCCTCAAGGATGCCCATTGGGCATCCGACAGTTTCTGAATATGGATATCATGTTTAAACAGAAAATGCAAAAAAAGTTCATATAATAAGCATTTCCACCTTCACTTAAAATATGGCACTTCACATCCGGACTATATCCCCTCTCCACTTTTACAAGTTAACTTCACATCTAAATGAAGAACTGTTAGCTTCTGGGCTTCAGGATTCACAAGAACTTAAATGCTACTGTCAAAGTCCTTATAAAATTTGCTGAAAACACAATATGTACATTTTAGAAGGAGACATGATACCTGGCAAAGCATTTAGATCCCCAGTCCTCATTTGTTTACATGAACATAGACCTGGAGGTATAAGACATCTGAGCAGAGTTGACAGAGAGTGAACAATCATACAGTGCAATCAGTTATTTTGGTATATGCATCTGTACATCAGATTACAGTGTCATTTTGATGTGTCCATATTGGTCCCATCATATAATCTCTTTTCAGATATTATTTGCTCAACGTGTCTACCTTACGAAACATGGTACCCTTTCCCTATGACTCATCCTCCTAAGCAGGTATCCAGGATCTGTACCTCCTTCTTCCCCCTGCTATAACCAATTTGTAAGCGCCCGATTAAACTGAATCACGTGATCTAATTATCTAATTATAATATATTCTGGATTTTGAAGCCCTGTGATCGGAGGATGCTATGACTCTCGGCTTATACTTTGTACATGTAAAGTAAAGTGCATTGTTCTTTTCATCTGCCATCTATAAATAACTTCTTAAAAGCTATACACAGATTAGTAAGTTCAGTATACATACATGTCATGTCCATAAAGTCGGTAATGTGAAATTTTGAACTAAAGCATATTTAATTGTCCAGTACTTTAAATTAACTATATATAATAAGATTATCGGAGCAAATAATTTGGTCCATTATGAAATTTCATTTAGCATTGATAATTCCTACTTAACCACCACACAGGATGACGTCTTTTGATCACTCACTGTGTGCCAAAATAGAAGATTACAGACACCTTTCCCATTACTTAGTAATCATGCAGATTTACAGGTAAGCCTACCTGGATTAACCCACATATCCAATATCATAGATAACCACAACCTCACCTGTGGAACTCTGTGCAAGAAACTAAACATCTTAAAAAGCAAGATAGTAGTGCCTTGAATACTCTTCTGTTTATTTTACTCTGGGGCAAGAAATTTTAGAAGGCATGAAAATGAAACAGAATCTTGGTATCATCAATATCCAGGGTTAGTTTGCATCTGGAGCTCTACCTCAGTTTTTTAACCTCACAAAAATTGACAACTTAAAATGAGATAAATTTTTACATAACATACGGCCATATGTTGAACCCCTTTCAAGACTACCCTTTTATATAGTCAATACAGTAGTCAGATTTTGCTTTTTTAATTAGAGTTTCATCTATATTAGTTGTGACTACCACTAAACTTGGGTATTTCATGACAGGGTTGATGTAAAAACTGATCTCAACTGAACAGCACTTCCCCATTCTAAAACTACACTACATAAGAATGGTACCTATAGAAGGCTGGGATTGTCTCAAGTTGGAATTGCCCAGATATTAGTAGTCAGACGTTAAACCACATTACAAACAATGATACTAGTTTGACCTAATACCGGCATCAAAATCAGATATTGGCAATACACGGAATAAGATTTCAAGGCGGAAATTAAATTAATGGGTGCTTATATGATATACTTTGCGATTGAGGGCACAAAAATACCTGGGAGAGAAGTTCAGTTTGTGTTTTTAGCTTTTTTCAAAATGTTTTGCAAAATAATTGGTAAATATTGATATTAACCCTCAGTAATACTAGTGTTGTCGCGATTAATCGATACATCGCGATATACATCGCCAAAGCCGATTCTGGTGATGCATCGATTCTGAAACAAAACACTTATGTTTTAAAAAAAAATTAAAATAGCTAAAAATCACCCTTTCTTATCTTATTTTGACGCAAATGTAGTACCTTTCATATGTCTTAGTCCATTTTCTAATGTTCTCTGATATTCTTTCACTTTAAAACTGATTTAGCAGGTAGAAATGAACCATTTATCTAAAAAAATTTTACTTTTCTTTCACTTCACTGTCACCGGAAGTACCCGGATGTTCCAGCGCACTATTATTTATTTGTTGGGTTCTGTATTTTTATGCATTAGGGTTCGGTATTTCAGTACACTACAAACGTGTAGTTTCAAGGTGTATAGATCCAACGGGGCGTTTTGGAAGAGAACGGGGCGTTTTGATCAATTTCGAACAGGAGATGCGTAGGACTTTTGGAAATTGCTGCGTTAAATGTAATAAATATGTTGATGCAGAGATGGAAGGTTGTAATGTAAATGGGAGTCTTTGTGCAAGATATAGGGGAGAATAATAAAAGAACTGGTGATATATCGAGGCTTTTTGGTGGAAATCTCTAAAGATTTGCATCTTCTCACATCTGGGGACCAAAACGCCGCTAACAAGAGCGACTCTGTACACAAAAGCAATGCCTCGAGTGAAAGGTATTTCTGTGAAGGTTTTAATGGAACAAGTTTGAAGAAAAATGGTATACAGTGAGACTCACAATCATTGATTTTCCAAAGAAAGGGTAGGTTTAAAATTCAAATTAACGGTTTTGTGGGGCGTTTTGGTTTTGATACGCCCTGGTGAGTTAGTGCCGCATGTTTTTATAATGGTTTTCAAATCGAGAATATAATTTATTACACCAATTTTCACATTTAGCCATCAGGATTATCAAGTAGGTGATAGAGGGCGCCTTTGAAAGAGGTAAGGGAGAAAATAAAGGCTGACATATGATAAATTAGTTGTTGTCTGTTCTTTACCGACTTTGTAGTTAGCATTGTTGGTCCTTCACATTCATTATGGGGACATGTCCGAAGCTTGATGAAGCAAGATCACCCTATGCAGACAGAGCCTGTGGGAAATATTGGGTGCGGAGCAAATGAGCGGAGGGTGCGGAGCTAACGGTTATTTTTGAATTTAAATTTGGGATATTTCTGAAACTAAGCCGTTTTGGGACTTCAAATATACCAAGATATGTGTATTTGACACCAAATATCAATACAATTGTGAAAATAGTAGCGCAATTCATTCTATAGCGACGCAGTGTGCCTTAAACCTTTCCCAGACCTATATATTTTGAAATTATTCTTTTAATACTGAGTCCCCAGCATTCATAAAAAATGGTGTTCAAGGTGCACTATCTATACAAATTATTTTTGCATCTTGGAAGCCAGGCAGTATCTGTGTGATTTTATAAAAATTCGGAAATTTTTTCAGATATGAGCCCCCTCTAAATATTGGGTGCGGAGCAGCTCCATAAACGTAGCTCCGCACCCAATATTTAGAGGGGCTCATATCTGAAGAACATTTCCGAATTTTTATAAAATCACACAGATACTGCCTGGCTTCCAAGATGCAAAAATAATTTGCATGGGTAGTGTATCTTGAACACCATTTTTTATGAATGCTGGGGACGCAGTATTGAAAGGATAGTCTCAAAATATATAGGTCTGGGAAATGTTTAAGGCATACTGCGTCGCTATAAAATGAATTGCACTACTATTTTCACAATTTTATTGATATTTGGTCTCAAATACACATATCATGGTATATTTGAAGTCCCAAAACGGCTTAGTTTCAGAAATATCCCAATTTTAAATTCAAAAATGACCGTTAGCTCCGCACCCTCCGCTCATTTGCGCCGCACCCAATATTTCCCACAGGCTCTGTCTGCATAGTGAAGATGTAGTCAGAAAATACATGGCCACTGTCCCTCCAGGTTGGCCAATAGATGTCAGGTACTGATACAAGTTCCTGTCACTTGTGGCTGATCAAGATCTAAGTTTGTTTGATTTTTAGTTTTGTAATGAGAAAATTAATAAACATAATGCAAACCGCCTAATTAGCAACAAAATGACCTACCTTCAAAATCATTCAGAAATCGTGTCAGTAATCGTGGGCAGCAACTTTCCAAAGTTGTACAAAATTCTTGAAAAACTCCCGGCCCTTTTTGAGAAAGTAACTTAGTAAACTCGTCTACCCGTCGACTGGGGTCAGGATGGGATAATATTTCTCTTTCTTCTGCAAGCGTAAATGCCCTGTTGTTGACAAGAATAGATAGAACTCGGTTTATATCGAGTTCTCGATGAATAAACGCTCGATGTTTATCGAGAAGTTTGGGAATTCTCCCCGCCATCTTCAAATATAACAAATCGTGACCAAAAGGTATTGTTATTATAAACCGTTTACAAAATGTATTATAATGTTCCTATAATTTGAAATCACAGGACTTGTTTGGTCATAATATAGAAATTTTGTATATAAATGGATACAGATTTTAAAATACAGGATTCAATTACCTAATTCGATGTAGTTTTACCATGACAGGAAATTAGTAATCGGTTAATTAATTGAGCTTTCAAACATCTTACCACGCGTTAGCAGCGCCACTGTGTGGGAAAACACCCTAACTAAAAGCATGGCAGATCATTTCGAAGGTGATCAACAAGAAAATGGTAAAGTATTTGTATTTTTAATCAGTTGATTCATATTTACAACGTAAAATTCAATCTTTGCCTCTTTCATTCACGTTTATGAATATGAAAATTGAAGTTAGAATGAATATATCCTTTTTTTTTTCAAAAATGAAAAATTGTTTTATTTTCATGTTTTTGAATTTGACTTCCACAGAGAGCTAGAGTATTTACACTGTTGTATGATATTAGAAGTCTTAAAAAGGGAACTTGAATTTCACTTCTGGACCAGCAAAGCCATCTAAAACAATTTCTTCTTCGACAAAAATCGCCAAGAATACCCTAAAAACCATGGGCATTCAATAGAAAGCCCATGTATTCAAACTCAGCTCATCTTGTTGGGTCACCCTTCATTACTCGAGTCTCTAGCTTACAGCTAGACGAAACTTCATTGATTTCGTATGTACTGTGCTACACGCACCTACACGCACCTAGAACTCATTTTTAATAAATTTTATAAATATTTTTAAGAATATTAATCATATTTAGGATGAAGCGTTGCTTGTCTGGATTTAGATATTTCAAAATTTCATTTCGGAGTTTTGACACATGGTAAAATCTTCTCGCTGTAGCTAAAAATGGCTTCCGGTTCTGGACGTGAATAACATTTGAAATTATTCTCGCTTAAAGAAATCAAATATAACAATAGATTCAGACGGGGATGTGAGCTCCTGATGTTCTTCAAATCTATACATAAAGGTATATTTCATATTATTATGCCATATTTACTGTGCGTGTGACACAATGATTTACAATATTTATAATACTAAAGCAGCTCAATCTTCCTCCTCAAAGCCGGAATATAGAGAAGGCTTTGGACCGAAGTAAACCCTTCAAGTCTTCGACATATGGGGTAACTTTGTCATGGAGCTACTTCAAATTTTTCAAATAGATCAAATCTACGATGGGCAAGATTTAAGTCCAAGAAAGGACAAGGAAAGAAATATCAGCCATGATTGAAAGAGCCCCATGGTTGAAGTAGATTAGCTATGTTATCCCGTGCCAGGACTATAGTCCTGAGAATGTCTCAATCTTTTGCCTGTACAATTACAACATGGGAGAATTTTCTACGCCTCTTACACTTAAGATACCTACTTCAATAGATTCCTTGGTATTTTAGCATTGTTTTCATGTGGTTGAATCCACAATTATCTGGATTAATTGGCAGAACGAAGAAATTTTTGTTTTTGATCACAATGTTTGCGTGTAATACTTAACTTATTTCAACCGTCAAATTCCTCCATTTATTGGTACTTCCGGGCCACTGTCGGGCCAGTCAAACGGGGAATTCCCTTTTAAATCCAACTGCCATCTTGAAAAGTGATGGAATCTCTCTCGATGAAAAAGATGTTCCAATTCTGCCGATAAACCCAGATTGTGGATTCATCTACACGAAAAGAATGCTAAATTACCCAGGAATCTATTGAAGTAGGTAGTGCAAGAGGCGTAGAAAATTCTCCCATGTTCTAATCATATAGGCAAAAGATTGAGATGTACTCAGGACTATAGTCCTGGCACAGCATAAGCTACATGTATCTTTATTTAGATATAACACTTGAAGTAAGTTTTAGAATTCAAGAAAACCGTGATACTGTAATGTTCTTTTTATGAAGCAGGGAAGTTAAAATCTTCTAATATAAATCAAAGTAATCATTTGGAGATACACGTACATTTAATTAGTAAGAAGCATGTATGTACAATCGAATTGAAAGCGGAATGTGAATCGGCTATGTGCAGATGTCAACACACTTCCAGTTCTATAACAGTGTAGTCTATAATAGTGTTCTTTGATGCTGTATTTTAATAATTACAGATGCAGAGATGAATAGTGGAGGAGAAAGTGATCCTGGATCACCGGGAAGTGAAAGATCTGGATCTCCTGTTAGTGGCCATTCTGGATCACCTCAATACAGTGGCCATTCTGGGTCACCTCAACACAGTGGCCATTCCGGGTCACCTCAACACAGTGGCCATTCCGGGTCACCTCAACACAGTGGCCATTCAGGGTCACCTCAACACAGTGGCCATTCAGGGTCACCTCAACACAGTGGCCATTCTGGGTCACCTCAGCACAGTGGCCATTCTGGGTCACCTCAACACAGTGGCCATTCTGGGTCACCTCAACACAGTGGTCATTCTGGGTCACCTCAACACAGTGGCCATTCAGGGTCACCTCAACACAGTGGCCATTCAGGGTCACCTCAACACAGTGGCCACTCTGGGTCACCACCTGGTAGCCCACATTCAGGTTCAGGAAGTCCCCATAGCTATCAGTCAGGGAGCCCTAGAAGTCAACATTCAGGAAGTCCCAGAAGTCAACATTCAGGAAGTCCCAGAAGTCAACATTCAGGGAGTCCTAGAAGTCAACATTCAGGGAGCCCTAGAAGTCAGCATTCAGGGAGCCCTAGAAGCGAAAGGTCAAGGAGTGGATCGTTACATAGGAGTAGATCTGAGTCACCTAGAAGTAGGTCAGGAACACCCAGAAGTAGGTCGGGATCACCCAGAAGTAGGTCAGGGTCACCCAGAAGTGGGTCAGGATCACCCAGAAGTAGGTCAGGTTCACCCAGAAGTAGGTCAGGATCTCCTAGAAGTAGGTCAGGGTCACCTAGAAGTAGGTCAGGATCTCCTAGAAGCAGGTCAGGATCTCCCAGAAGTAGGTCAGGTTCACCTAGGAGTGGGCCAGGATCTCCCAGAAGTAGGTCAGGTTCACCTAGGAGTGGGCCAGGATCTCCCAGAAGTAGGTCAGGTTCACCTAAAAGTGGGTCAGGATCACCCAGACGAGAAAGGTCACCTGGTAGTGACTCAGATGGAAGTGTGGTACAGAGAAAGAAACAGAGACTTGTCAGTGATAGTGAATCAGATGCAGAAAAGCAACCAGGTAAATAATGTAGACTAATACTTATGAGAAAAAGTGAATGTTTTTATCCTCCATTATAACTTTATTATAACTTTGATTATAAATAAATATAAAACATTTACATATGACTTAGTGACATCTTTGAAGTGTAATCTCTATATATTTAATCTGTAGTTTATCTCTATCATGTACTAGTCTTGCTGTAGCATTTTACAATAATTTAGATTTTCCAACAAGAACATATAAGAAACTGTATACAATACTGTATTTGAATGGTTGCAGACATCACAGCCACAGCAGATGACCTGTTTGGAGATGACTTGGACGATATTAGCTCTGCATCAGAACATGAGTCTGACAAACAGGATGATGACAATCAACAGGTAGGCCATGTTACTTGCTTTATACCATTATGACAATCAATTGGTAGGCCATGTTACTTGCATTTATGGCAAACAATATGATGAAAATCAACTGGTAGGCCATGTTACTTGCATTATACCATTATGACAATCAACAGGTAGGCCATGCTACTTGCATTATACCATTATGACAATCAACAGGTAGACCATGCTACTTGCATTTTATGACAAACAATATAAGGACAATCAACTGGTAGGCCATGTTACTTGCATTATACCATTATGACAATCAATTGGTAGGCCATGTTACTTGCATTTTATGACAAACAATATGATGACAATCAACTGGTAGGCCATGTTACTTGCATTTTACATGATTATGACAATCAAGTGGTAGGGCATGTTACTTGCATTTTACATGATTATGACAATCAAGTGGTAGGCCATGCTACTTGCATTTTACATGATTATGACAATCAACAGGTAACCCATGTTACTTGCATTATATCATTATGACAATCAATTGTAGACAATGTTAAATGGAAGGTGGTGATATTTTGCATATTAATGCCTTGTCTGAAAATTGTTACTGTTATTACTTCCACATTTTGATTTAGAAATGGCTGGATTTTTTTTATTGATGTTTTGTTTTTATTTGTTTTTCCACCAGGCACCTATGATAGACGATGAAGATGGGGAGGGGGAACAGCAACCAGAAGAGCCAATAGAAGTGAAGATTCCAGTTGACATACCTAAGATTAAGACAGACCTTGGCAAGCAGATTCATTTTGTGAAACTTCCCAACTTCCTCAGTGTTGAAACAAGGTTAGTGGATTTCATTCTATGCGTCACCAACATTTCCGTCAAATCTAAAGTACTGGGTGACACAAAAAAGCCACCCGCTAATTTTGGAATATCTTTCTCAATAATTAAGGAATCTTTGTGATTTTTATTTGTGTGTAGATAGGATGTTCAATGGCAGAAAGACTGTTCTATTCCTGTAGCATCAACTACTTTGAAATTTAGAGATATCACATTTTCAGTCCAGGTTTGCTCTCAGTGAAATTTTCAAAAAATGTTCAAAAATACGTGGAATTTTGTCTTAGACATCATTTGAGTCATTTCTGGATTGCTTTCACATAAATTATCATTCATGATATTTTTGAGAAACTATGAACCTGTACAACATTATTCAAAAAAGGCTTGATTAAAATTGATTGATATTACTTAGGCCATTCGATGCTGCCATCTATGAAGATGAAATAGATGAGGATGAAGTCCTAGATGAAGAGGGCAGAACAAGAATGAAACTGAAGGTAAATTAGATTCACCTTTCAATATTAAATCCTGATTAAAATCACCCACACATTATTACATGTAATGATTTCCATAATCTTGAGTAGAGAGTTATTGATAAAATTCAGTTGTTTTCTGGTTTTGACTCTGCATCTTCCTCAGTACTTTTTATTATCCCATCGAACGAAGTTCGGAGGGATATAGGGAACGCCTCCGTCCGTCCGTCCGTCTGTCCGTCCGTACGTACGTCTGTCCGTCCGTCCGGGCAATAACTCAAATACCGTTGGCCCGATTTTGTTCATATTTTGTACACATATACCCTATGGAGGTAGAAGTTCTGCTCGAAAGCCAATTTTCAAAATGGCTGCTCATTTCAAAATGGCAGCCATTTTAGTGCCGAATTTACAGTCATTTAGGTGCAATATGTAAAACTGTAATAGCAATATGTTTTAGATGTAAAAAAATTATATAGGACATTAATAAAGCTAGAAATGTAGATATTAAAGAAGCACATGGCAGCCATCTTGAAAAATGGCGGCCTTTACTCGTTATTTTACGATTTTTGCTGTAACTTGAAAAGTACTGGAGCGATTTTGTTCATATTTGGTATGTGAATACTATAAACATTGCACACTGTCTAAAGACACTTTTGGTAGAAGGCGACCATTTTAAAAAATGGCCGCCATTTTGAAAAATGGCCGCCATTTTGAAAAATGGCCGCCATTTAAACCTATTTTGCTATAACTCGAAAAGTAGTGAAGCGATTTTGTTCATATTTGGCATGTGAATACTATAAGCATGGCACACTGTCTAATGACACTTTTGGTAGAAGGCGGCCATTTTTCAAAATGGCCACCATTTTAACGTATTTTACTATAACTCGAAAAGTAGTGGAGCGATTTTGTTCATATTTGGTATGTGAATACTAAAAGCATGACACACTGTCCTATGACACTTTTAGTAGAAGGTGGCCATTTTGAAAAAATTTTGAAAAATGGCCGCCAGTTTAACGTATTTTATAATTATTAGAAAAGTAGTGAAGCAATTTTGTTCATATTTGGTATGTGAATACTATAAGCATGGCACACTGTCTAATGACACTTTAGGTAGAAGGCGACCATTTTTCAAAATGGCCCCCATTTTACTATAACTCGAAAAGTAGTGGAGCGATTTTGTTCATATTTGGTATGTGAATACTATAAGTATGGCAAATGGTCTAATGACACTTTTGGTAGAAGGCGGCCATTTTGAAAAATGCCTGCCATTTTTGCTATATACTTTGTTTGTAAAAATGCCATCCATGGCTGTTCGATGGGATTCGCTACGCTTTGGCGTTGCCGTTGTTCTGGTTATTTATTACGGTTCACATCAATGCTGAATCATTTCTTTTAATTATGTAATCAAAACACTGCATTTAAGATGTAAGCATTTAAGATATAGGCATTTAAGAAATAAGCTAATCAGTTTTTTACACATAAACCAGTGTTTTCTCATGTATTGTTTTGTAGGTTGAGAACACTATAAGATGGCGTGACAAGAAAGATGCAGAGGGAAATCAAATATTAGATGAAGAGGGGAACCCAGTCAGAGAGAGCAATGCAAGGATGATCAGATGGTCAGATGGCAGGTAAGCCATTTAGAGAGCACGAATGCTAAAAAGTCAGTATGAATATAGGCACCAACCAGACTTCAATATACTGTGAACATTTACGGATCCGTGTTGAGGTGTGCATACTAACCATGCTGCCAGGTTCACTGATACGTGAATTACCATGCCTTTAGATAACTATGATACCTCAGAACATACAGTATCAAGAGGTCTGCCACGATGTGGGTCTACTTTTTTGGCATCCGATTTGTCTTTAACATACCGTAGTATTATCAAAATGTAGCAAAACCTTCTCATTTGGAAACTTCATTTCCTTTCCTCTGTGTTATCGAAAATCATTGAGAATGCTTCATAACGATTTATATCTGCAATTTTACAATTTGTATCTGCAATTTTTGACACATTTTTCAAATTTCAAAATTTACCATTGTGCTTGTGGCCACTCAAATGAAACCACTATTCATGTGTTTTTCTCCTGTCCCATTCGACAGAATTATTTTATTACTTTTGAACAACAACTCTGTGATCTTAATATTGGATACAGAAATTTATGTGAGAACAGGCAGGAAAAACTAAACTTTATTCTTTATGGCCACGAAACACTTAAGAAAGAGCAAAACATTGATATTTTGAAGTTGAGTGCAGTGTTTATCAGGAACTGTGTTGAGGGACCCCAGGCAGTCTAGTGACCTATTATCTAACTATCAGATCATTTGCAGACCTAGTTTTGTGAATCATCATCCTAAAAGTGGCTTATAATGTACCTTACAAAGCCGCTAATGTATTTGTATTTATTGTAATAATTTGAAATAAAGAAATACAATATATATATAAAAAAAAAACTTAATGGAAATTTTACCTTTTACGAGTACAGAGTAAAATATTTCTCCACACCTTTCTGAATGAATAAAAAGAGACTCCTATACCAGCAAAAAAACAGGCAATGTTTATTTGATTTTCAGTATGTCATTACACCTTGGTGTGGAAGTGTTTGATGTCCACCCTATGAACCTACATGGGGACTACAACCATCTGTTTATCAGACAAGGCACTGGACTACAGGGGCAAGCAGTCTTTAAGACAAAACTCACCTTCAGGTAATTTCCAAGTTGAATTAAGTATTGGCAGAATGCTAATTATGCACCATTCAAAGATATGCATGAGAACCCCCCCCCCCGCGTGGGTAGTGGGGAATTTGGGTTTTCAAATTTTCCATACCCTGGGGCAAAATTATAAGTTGATTACACTGGGGGAGCAATAAATCTGGTCAAATATTCCCCATCCCTGGGCTCTATCCCCGAATCTGCTCTCTTTTTAAAACATCAGATTTATTTGTTTGTATGCCACAGAATATGATTAATCTAATAATATTTTGAGATGCTTTCTGATTGGTCAAACAACTAGAAGTCACATGGTATCACTATGGAATTTATTTTGTATCAAAATTGGACAATACATGATCCATGTGAAAAGTCGAACCATATGATGTGACACTCAAACTTATTGATTCGCAACTCGCATCATAATATGCGAAATACGCATCATTATATCATGCTTAATTCACATCATCGAAATGCAATTTTCAATCGATGTTATACCAACAGTTAATTTTCTTACTAACTTATTTTTATTCACACACACAGTGGTTCTATCAAGTGTCACACAAAGAGTTACACTTGACTCGAATCACTTTGCAAAAATCCAAAGCAATGTTGAAATGTCACAAGGATTGTGTTATAAGTAGCATAGAATACTGAAAGAATTATACACGCATCGAGTTCAGACTCACATAGGATGGTTCACACTAGTATAGGCTGTCACAATCAACTTGCACCTCACATAGGGTGTGAGATTTGAAGTCATGTGATATTTACATCCTGGTTTCTACAATGCAGCACCCTCCATATAAAATCAAAAGTCACAGAAGATTTTTAAAAATGCAAACAATCACGAACATCTCTAGAAACTAATTTATGTTACATCAAGGTGTCTGATCTTCATGGTTTGTGAATGGAAAAACATTTGGTTGTGCGAGCTGTTTAAGAATTTTTGACTTGTGTACTCTGTTCGAGGTCATTCTTTAAACAATGCATTCACAAATACGCATTGGGATCTTATACAGGTCCATTATACACTTTATTCATGGCTTAAAGTCTTCAGGAATTTCAGGTAATTTCAGGAAAAAATGGACCAAAATCTGACCCTATTGAGTTCAATACAAATCTGGGTTTATTTCTCGGGGGAGTAGGTGGTCAAGCAAAGAGCTAAGAATTAAATTAAGGTCATATTTAATTTTTTCCTTTGAAAATACTTTTTCCTCTAAATTTGAAAGTATATGTAATGAGCCTTAGTAACATTGCTCATAAAAAGCACTCAATCAAATCTCTTTTCCCAAAATTTCTTGGAGGGGATGACCGCCCAAACTCACCGCTCGCTTGGCCCTCATCTTTCGGCATTAAATTGTCAGGAAATTTGAATTTTAAAATGTAATGAAATGGCAGTCAGAATCTCTTTTTGGCTTGTACTTAGTACATCTTGTATCGACTCTTGTATTATTTGAACTACAAATCTAATGATATTTCCTCACAAAATAAGATGAAACTGTCAACCTCCAAAAACCTCGAAAAAGTCGCCAGTTTGGAAGTATTTTGGGACTCCGATATCACAAGGTAAACGAATTGGTGATACAGAGTGTCCAAAAAAAACAGGACCGTAAGAAAGTTTAATAACTCGGTCAATTTTGCATATTTTGCCTTGAAATTTAAGAATTATTTAGCTCATTCAATGAAAATTTTGTTCTGAAACTTTGATGATAATCTGTTTATTGTGTCAAAAGCTACAGTCCTTTACAAAACATGCTCAAAGTGAGCACTTCTCCTCTCTATGCACAAACGAATCCTGCGAACAAAGTTGTTAATGACCCTTACCTATACACATTAATGTGGATGGTAAATATTGGGGTAGTTATTGCCCTCTTAAGATTGTTAGGGGCCTGTCAGTATACACATTGGCTTTGAGAAATCCTCAAAGATAAAAATTTGGGGGATTTAGATCAGGCGAATGAGCTGCCCATATGGTTTGCATTCTGCAACTGATGAGCTGACCACCAAAGCATTGCCTAAACCATTTTAGCATATCATTTGCAGTGATGGGGTGGTATTGGCTTGTTGAAACCACTGCTTAATTATCTCCTTAGATGTCCCTTCTGGTGCTTAGTGACCTCCAAAACTTAATGAGAACTTACTGGTCCTTGTTCATGGTGATAGCAAGTCCCCAGTCACCTTCCAACCAAAAAGGACTGATGATTCCATGTTTCCTCATTGCCACCCAGGGAGTGCATTGTTCAGAATGCAATGGATGCTGTAACACTTCATCAGGAAGATGTAAGCCCCAGTAGCAATTGTTCTTGGAACAAACTTGTCCATTCAGAAAGACATGTGTGAAGGAGGATCATCAACAGCTTTGTTCGCCGGATTGAATTGTGCATAGAGATGAGATTTGCACATTTGGGGTATGTTTTGTAAGGAGCTGTAGTTTTTGACTCAATTGGTAGATTATTATCAAACTTTCACAACAAAATTCACATTGAATGAGCTAAATAATTCTGAAATTTCAAGGCAAAATATGCAAAATTGACCGAGTTATTCAACTTTCTTACGGTCCTGTTTTTTTTTGACACCCTGTAGTACACAGTGCAGACTATGTGAAATGCCGATCACATTCGCGGCAGATGTATGCGTTATTAATAATGCAGATGCGAGTAGGTAGTTACCAGATAACATGGCGGGTGTAGTAGAAAGTTCCCTTTAACTTAAATTACATCTATTTCGCGTGGTTCAATTTTTATATAACCCTTATGTATCTAATAGTTATGCAAAAAATATGTCCAGTAAAAGAAAATGTTATTTGTCCAAAACAAGATAAGATAATTCACTTTTTTGTGATTTTGCAACATGGGGTCTATGGGGAATCAACCCGAACAAGAAGTCACATTTTCAAAAAAAATTAAATTTTCAAAGTTGATAGACAATTTACGAAGCCATATTTCTAGATGTACTTTTACATGCAGATTTCAAATATGAAATAACTTTGACTGAATTTTGAATATTTGATGACGTAAATCAAGATTATTTCTACTCGCATCCAGCCTATTGACTGTTTTATTTCTGAATATGATTTTGAAAAGTGAAACTGAAAGTGAAACTGCCATAATCAGACATTGCATCATTTTTCTTTAATGTTCTGTCCGGTCCCGAAAGTACCGTGTCCCAGACCATTTGTACCGTTCCGTACTGTACCAAAATTTTTTTGGACCATGACACCTCTAATTGCGGAATGACCAAGTATTAACTAATGTATCAGAAAAAATTTCCAAAGAAATTTGAGTGGGCAATAATAGAGTACTTACACTAAACTGCTGTAAATGTGACGCAATTCGATGCATTCTCCTGATAAATATCTCATTGGGAGCTTCCCACATAATACTTAAACTAATATTATCTCAAAATAAATGTTCAAGTTAAAGAATTTTGATCAGTATTTTACCAAGATCTAAGTTTCTGCGCAGGATTTCTGCACACATCAAACGATCGTCACATTTCTCGTTTTTAACACGACTTTCACAAGAAAACTGATGATCTATCATCAAATTAAAAAGATAAGCTGTAACTTTTGATCAATATCCAACAGTCTCAAGTGGAAATATGGAAAATAATCGTGGGAAACAATTCCAGTTGCCATATGTGAAATTCCCGGGATTTCTGAATTCTCATATAGAATCTCTTATGAGAATGGTCTGAAGGATGTATTTTCGATTTTCTAAATGGCCCAGAGAATAGTAGATGATATTTGCTAATCTGACTTCCAGCAATTCAAATTCCAGCATAATAACCTACCTGATATCTGTATAGGTTTTCCTAAACAAAACAAGGAACAAAGGCAGCAATGGTTTCAATACAGTGATCTCCCCAGCATTAGAGTAAGTGGGTGCAGCACCCACTTGAGATTTTAAAAACAGGCTTGCACCCACCTGAAAATCCATTTGCACACACTTGGAAATGAGAAAAATCATGAAAAATTGACATTGACCAATTTTGGTCTGAATTGTGAAAATACGAATTTTGCACCCACTTGAGAAAAAATCCTGTGGAGAACCCTGTAATATAATCTACAAGGCACAATATTTGATTGCTTTTCTTGGGTCTCTGAAAGGCTTAACCAAGTAGAATAACAGCCTTTGCAAAATTGATAAAATAGCCTTAAATCATGCATTCATTGGCTCAATATCAGAGGGAATAACTCGGACATGTTGTACACATTTGTGTCTTCATTTTAAAAAAGAACTTAATATGATATTTTTAATCGTAATCATACCTTATTCAAGGAAGATTTAGTGTTTTGTCCTCAAATGATGAGATTTTCTCTTCTAGTTTGATTGCTCTTCCATAGGCCAGTGGGTATAAGGTATATGATCCTCGATCACCATGCCAACCATAGAACATTTAACCTGAGTCATGAATCAATTTATGTTGTTATTTTCATTTTTCAAGAACAATATTGATCAAAATTTGTCCGGAACGATGTTGGGCTTGCGTTTTTCATTGTCAATTAGAAACCTTAGTGAAGTCAATAGCAGGATTAGCCTGAAGGCTACAAGTTATAATCATTGAAAACGTGAATTATGAATTGATATAAACCAGAGGTTATTTTGTTCCCTATGTTTTCCACACCTGCAGGTCTCAACACTTGCATTGCCAAGATCACTGTGCCCATGTCAAGCTGCGTGCCTAAGTAGGCGCGCAGTTTGTTTCGATCACAAACTGCGGGCCTAACAACATTGCATCATTTAAGTTGGAGTCTGTATTTTGAAACGTAATTTAAGGACATTTATCCTGCATTGTTTTCTTGTTCAATGCGTTCATTCTGTGGCGAATATACAAATCTTGCAAATACTAGCAAAAACTATGTGCAAATGAATCTAAGTTTTCAAACATAAGCAGATTAATGGCATTTTTGTCACTGATTTAACGGGAATTTATATGTAAATCGATCTAGCACTTTAAACATAAATGACAAATACTTTAGACTCGTTTTATATTTAATTCCTTACGCATTTATCATGTATAATTCAAAATATTTCGAGATAAAACAGATAATCAGGAGATTAAAAAGAAATAAACCACAAACTGCGCGCCTATTTTAGCCAGAAATTATAAACTGTGCGCATACACTATTAAAACTACATATTATCATTGAAATTTTTACAGAGGCACGTAAAGGTGTTTTTCATATAGCTTTGGAAATTTTGCTTTATCGTCAGATTTTATGAGATTTTCATATTGAAAGTCAAAATGTATAATAGAAGTGACAATTAAGTTGGGAACGAAAGAAAGTATTTTATTTTCAGATCACCATTTGGTGGATGGAGTCTCATAGTGTTTCAATTATAGGGTTCTACTATTAAACACATATGTGCCTTACATATTGCGCTTACGTTTTCTAATAATACAAAACAAGCTTGGATAGGCAATTAGGCACGCAGTTTGGGAAATACATGTGCATATAGGCGCGCAGTTTGACAAGAAAAATGTTTAAATCACGTTTATGGCGTATTATCGTTTTGAACACAAACTATGCTGCTTTAATCAGATGGAGTGATCCTTTATATTCTAGCATACACAGACACAATGGCTGAATAAACGGCATATGACGATAAACATACAAAGATATAACTTTACACTGTAAATTTTGAGCAGAGAAGTTACTTAAGACCCTTATATTGAGATCACTAGGTTAACATCGGGAAAAACATTGAGTACTAAGAGTAAATTAAGTTCATCTTCACAGAATGGTACTATCTATAGAACGAGACTAACCTTGTATTTTTCGTATTTTGGCTCTTTTTGGGAGTCGTGTCCTCCCCGTCTTCAATTTTGAAATATGCGCGCAGTTTGTCAGAGTTTCAAACTACGTGCCTAGTAGGCACGCTGCTTGACATGGGCATCGTGAAGATAGTTCTGCTACCACGCATCAAAATAACTACCAGTAATTTCCCCTTGATCCTATTTACTACATTACGTGTTACAGTTTCCCTTTCACCAAAAACTAGTTGATCATTCATGAAATAAGTCAAGGGTCATATTTTCTTGTCTTTATTTTATATTTTATAATTTCATTGATATTTAACTCACTGTTAAATGCCATATTCTACATATCTAAGCTAGGAAGAACTTACATGTGATACAAAAATGCTGGATAAAAATGGATGTGGCAGTTTCTGAAGTAACTCTACATGATCAAACATTTTAATGGCTCCCTAATATAATCTGAATCCTATGTTATTTACAGTTTCTATATCGTTCAGTCATTCACAATGAGTAAATAAATTAAATGTACCTACAGCATGATTTTAGGGTGAACAGTCAATGTAGAATTCAGTGCCCTACTTCTTGAAAATACACCATAAAATGTGTCATTGCACCATAAAATGTGTCATCGTGATTATTGACTGAAATTGATAAAGGATTGGTATTTTAAAGTAACAACAATAAAAATTGTATTTGGCTGTGAGCCATTGAATGGAGATATTATAAAATCATTAGATTAGATAATGTTGTATTTTTGCTGCAACATATTACGTCAACATTATGTCTCATGGGTGTTTTTGCGTAAGTTACCTTCAAATTAATGCCTAATACCTCAGGGGAAATCAATGAAACCAGGATGTTTATTTGCAATTTTCCAAGAAAAAGTTAACTTGACATTCTGAGGATCACACCATCTAATCGACCTGTCTGAATTTAGCACTAAACAAAAGATTACCAGGGTCACTTGTCCCCTTCAGTGGTGACAAGTTTGGCTGGGGGGGGGGGCAATTTAGGGAACATGTATTCCCATGTTTATTGGAATGACGTTTCTGTTTTTCAGACCACACTCAACAGACTCATTCACACATAGGAAGATGACAATGTCGTTAGCAGACAGATCAACCAAAGCCAACAAACTTAAAGTTATTCCAATATCTGGCCTTGACCCCAATGCCAACAGAAATGAAATGATTAAGGTTAGTTAGTTTTAAGAAAAACTGATTCATCTTTGAAATAAATTATTTCTAGATATATTTGGTTAATTGAATCAGTTGCCTGGTTTTAATCAGGGGCCCTTTCTTTTTAGATACGATAAAAAGTAGGAAGAGATAGTGTGTTTGGTATAAAGATTTGACTTCAATTCAATTCAATTCAATTCAATTTATTATTCAATTCTAGTTTTCATACAATATTAATTTACAAGTGATATGAAAAGGACACCCCGAGGGGTGTATGGATTCCATGTTTTGAAAAAATAAAATGTGTTATACATAAAGCATGTCATGTTAGAAAAGTTATTGTAATGTACAAATTTACAAAGCATACATTTTTAATTATCTTGATGTACCATAGTGGAAGTATGGTTCAAACTAACTAATAATGACTTAACAAATTGGACTTAAACTTTCGTTGAAACATTTTTATATGAATTGAGTTTCTCAAATCAGTAGATAAAGAGTTATAAATTGATGGGCCACTTGTCCCGATCGATTTCCTTCCATATTCTGTTCTAAAAGGTTGAACAATCAAATCATTTTTTGATTTTGTGTCATGTGAGTGAATTGTTGATCTTAATGAGAAAAGATGGTTGAATTTTTTAAAAGGGAAATCAGGCGATTCAGAAAGTGTTTTTTGTACAAAGCTAGCTGTTTGATGGGAATGTATATCAAATACATTTAAAATTTTTAGCTTCTGAAATAGTGGACCTGAAGCGGCAAAGCTATCAGAATACGTAATGGCTCTTAAGAATTTCTTTTGCAAAATATATAATTTCTGAATGAGTGTTTTTATGGCATTTCCCCATAAGATATTTCCATAGCTTAAGTAAGAATAAATCATTGAATAATAAATTGTAGTCATGGCATTCAAGGTCAGTCGATGTCTAGTCCTGTATACTATACCAATCAAATTAGAGATTTTTGTACATATAGCATTAATGTGAGGAGACCAGTGTAACTTTGAATCAATGATAACGCCAAGGAAATTTGGCTTTAAGTTTTAAAGTTTTAAATCATAGGAATAAATTAGTTTGTACAAAATACAGTACCGTAAAACTCGGGTGAAACATTTTATTTTGATGGGATATATATTAATTTTTTGTTCAACAAGATGTGTGTTAGAATTCTGTTAAATGTGCCATTAAGCCTCTTGCTACTAGGTATAACGTACAACAGATTAACACTATTTTTGACTATCTGGTTGCAGAAGGAAGAAGAGAAACTGAAGGCAACTATTCGACGAGAAAGCCAGCAAAGGCGTATTAGAGATCGTGCACATAACAAAGGTCTAAGCTCTTCGTATTTAGAAGATGATGAAGAAAATGAAGCTGGAATCTCCCTATCAGCCATTAAAAATGCTTATAAACCTAATAAGAAATCTGGCAAAGGTAGATATGATAAAATCGTCTGTTCCTAAAATTTTCATGGGTATAGTCTTTAACATGTTTTAGATACAATGAAAATTTTTTATAGTCTATTAGCTTTAAAGGGATATTCCTTGCAAGCCCATATTCTCTTGATATGGTTATAGCTACCATATTAGCCTTTAAATGGTTAGGGGGTGCAGATCTGCCCCCCCCCTAAGGAAATTGTTTTGATAACTTTTTTCGTAACTTATCTATTAACTTGAAATTTTTTGGCTTTTCTTAAAACTGAATTAGGCATGTTTTAGCAAAACAAATTGTGACTCTAACCCCCCCTAGGAGGAGAGTTAGAGCTGTTCAAATTTAGTAAAATACCCCAAGTGTCCGTTTTTTGACTTGAAACGAACGAAAAAAACCTATGTTCTTAGAATATGAATTTATTCATTAATAATGGCTCAATTTAGTTAAGTAAGCTCAAAATACTGGGAATTTATATGATTTTCCATTTCCGAGATCATAGGGGGGGGCAGATCTGCTAACTGTTGGTGTAATTCTCTATAGCCTAACCATTTAAGAGTTAAGTTGACCTGCAAGGAATATCCCTTTAAAGTAGCATTTTCTCATAATGAATACAATATAAGAAACAATCAATTAGAATTCAATTCTTCATTATATGTATAAGAGACTCTTAACTTAAAATCATCTCTTAAAAGTGAGACATTTCTCTCTGAATGAAATTCTATCTATTACTATCTATCAGTGGAATATGGTAGGGAAAACTTAAAATTTATAGCTGTATGTAGATGTATTGCTTAGTGAACTCTGTCTATAGCTGGCATATAATTGATACCCACCATTGTTAAAATTTGAATTACAAAATATGTGATGAGAAAAGTTTACAGCGAAAATTTGTGTTGCTATGTTATACTATAAATAACACCAATTATGATAATGGATTTAAGTAGGGTTTCATTGTGATATTTGCATGCAGCTTTTTGAAGTGCTTTTAATTTTGTGCAACTATACTGGAAACTTGCTATGCGTGGACTTGTATTTATAGAACATTTTTGTGAGTGACTGCAAGGCTTATGTTAAGTTTTGTGTTAATATTTATATAATTGTGTATCTTCTCCATGTAATGCCTGGTGACTCCTGATTTGAATAACATTTTAATGTTTTAATATAATTTTAAAAATAATAGGAAGAAACTTCAGGGGGCTTCCATTTTGAATATAGATTTCCAAGATGGTCTCATCGTAAACTCATTATACATATGGTTTCCTCAGAATGCTAGCTGACATCTTCTCATGTACCTATCACTGTAATGCGATATACATTTCAGACCGCATGAACATCTACTCTAGTGACAGTGAAGAGAGTTTAGATGATGAGGTAGAAGAAAGGAGGGAGAGGAGGTTAATGAAGGCCAAGAAAATCATGGACAGCGATGATGAGGTAACATTTCAGGACAAGCTGTATAATCAGAGGTTTCATTAGCAGCAGGCAACAGCCGATTTTCACCGGTTGTTTTCACAAAATCGCCTGTTTATTGTAGGGACTTTTCCATGTTTTTGTGTTTGTGTAATGTTTATTATCCCAATGAACGAAGTTCAGTAGGGATATAGTGAAGCCCTCCGTCCGTCAGTCCGTCCGTCCGTCAGTCCGTCCGTCCGTCTGTCCGGAAGATAACTCGAATACTAGTAGACGGATTTTCTTCATATTTAGTGGAAAGATGTATATTGGTGAATAGTTTTACGCAAAAATTTTGGTAGTATATTCACAACATTTATCTATTTCACATATATTCCGTGTTTTTCATCCTGACCCCCAGGGGCCATGTATGGGGGGTCAGGAAAACAAAAACATCGCTAATTTTTAGATCTTTCTGAAGTATAGCTTTATTATACTCAAATGAAAGGCAATTAAGAGTAGATTGCAAATATTGTATCTTTTTTCTGATTCGAGCCTCGTAAAATTCAAAATGGCCGTCTAATGTATGATTTCGCAATAATTTTTCGATCCCTTCAAAGTATGGCTATATTATACTCAAATTGAAGGATTTTTGGAGTAGATCACAATTATGGTATTATTTTTCAGATTTGTACCTCAGAAAATTCATAATGGCTGCTTTGCAGGAATTCGCAATTCTAAAATCTAATTTTTTCAATTTTAACCAAAGTAATGAGTATAATTGATTGGAATTCGGTAATTGATATTTTGCTACTCCGCGGAGTTGCCGTTATCTAGTTGTCTAGTGTAATGTTACCATGATATGACAGTATACATATGTGCCATTTTGAGACAACATCTAATTTGATTTATTCGTGAATCATAATCCATTAAATTTGATATACCATTTTTATATCAAAAAATTATTCATCATTCCAAAATTCTGTTACATTAAATAATATACTACTTAGAATTTAAGGTCTGAGTACCTTTGACACAACCCCTTGGTTGCGATTGTATCAAACATGACAAATTCTCTTGCAGGAGTCAGACCAGGAATCAAGTAAAAAGAAAGCCAGAATTTATTCAGATAGTGATGAGGAAGCAAATGCAGACAGAGGTGGATCTGAAAATGAGGCTGGGACTGGAAATGAGGCTCAGAATCACAATGAGGCTGGAAGTGGGGAAGAGAGTGACTAAAAAGGCAGATTAGATCTCACACTTTTTAAGTGGATATGTGGCAGGTGAAATTCACCCACGTTGCGGTCCAATGACGTTCATTTAATGATCAGCGTACAATACTACTTTTTCGTCAAATCTGAATGATGAATTCCGCATATGAAAATCATAATTGTGAAAATACCGATTATGAGGTATTTTGTGAGGTTTTAGAGAGAAATTGAATGTTTGTGGTAGAACTGATGAAAGATTCCCTTACAAATTCAAACAAAGAAATTTTGAGAAACTGAATGAAATGAAATGAAAAGCATTTGGCTGATTAGTTAATAAAACAATATGCTTGGAATTCATCCCCAGGTCAAAATTCAAGATTCTACCAAAGCTTAAAATTTGGACTATTACATTTGAATGTATTCCATACTGCAATAACAATGCTGGCTGATGTTGTAGTTCAGCCAGAGCCAGAGTCGAGATTTTATATAAAATTTATAAATAAAAATACTCCAAGAAAATTTTGTTTGATTTATTTATTGAGTTCCAATTAAACCCCCAGCTTACCAAGTCAACATCTCCATCTGGAGATAACCATCTATTCTATTTGCATATGAACAGATTTTATGTCACCACCAGAAACACCAAAAGTTGTGACATATTGTTACTCCAACCTTTTTGTGGATATGGTTCTGCAGTCGGTGTATGTAACAAATGATAGGTTGTGACATTTTGAATGTTAATGTTTTGTTTGTTAGGGAGGTATATTTATAGATGTGGATTCCTTTGCATTTAAATGGCTTACAACAACAATGTACAATGTACGGTAATGGTTGATTACTGTCTGGGATAAAGTATATCCTGCATCCCCTGCAGTAAAATGTAGATTCACCTGACGTCATTTTTCTACGTGCGAATAGAAATTCACGTTCCGGCTTTGTCGAATACCTGTTACTAATAACCCAAGGCGCATGCGATCATAGACGACTATTAATGCAGAATACATTGTATCCCCATGCTGCAAAATATAAAATGAAGAGTTCCGAGTGTATTATTAGTAGCTAAAGGAAGCACCGGATCACATTCAGCTAGTGAGGAGCTGAGGAAGGTAACGCAACATGTCGCAAATTACTCATGGCATATGGCTCGCATGTATGGGACTATATCTAGCGTATACAACAGGCAGTGCGAGTAGGTTTTTTATATCAAAAATATCTTTTTAACGAACATGGTTATTTTTGAATTAATTGTTACGACTTTTACACATGTATTCAAAAATGTTACATCTTTAATTTGTAAACTATATTGAACAACGTCAACGTTTTTACCTAATTTAAGTTCAAGATTCGGTCATTTTCTACAATATCTAAAAAAATCTTCCAAATACCGGAATGGTTAAATAAAGAATGAATTTCTCATTTTAAAGAAGTTGGGTTTCGCTCAGTACTTCTATACGTACTATATCTAGTAGTTTAAAAACGGTTTACATTATCTATGCGCATAATTCGATGTATCGGCAAGTTATATATTTGGAAAAATGTAGTTATATCTATGGAAGAGTGTATAGGCAAGTTATATCTTTGGAAAAATGTATCGGCAAGTTATATCTTTGGAAAAATGTAGTTATATCTTTGGAAGAATGTATAGGCAAGTTATATCTTTGGAAAAATGTATAGGCAAGTTATATCTTTGGAAAATGTAGTTATATCTTTGGAAGAATGTATCGGCAAGTTATATCTTTGGAAAAATGTATAGGCAAGTTATATCTTTGAAAAAATATATAGGCAAGTTATATCTTTGAAAGAATGTATAGGCAAGTTATATCTTTGGAAAGGGAGGTACATTACTACCTTTGGCATTCATTTCCTCAGTTATTGCCTCCTTTCATGCCTGGCTGGACACATTCAAGCTATTACCGTAAGTCAGTGAAATAAAAAATGAAAACTTTTATATCTTAGATGCAATTGGGTATACGTACCAGTACGATCACTACATAAAGAATGCACTGAAAATGGATGATGTTGACGGGTACCCTGTTTCTACTTGGGTAGCCTCCGAGATGGTTAAATTTCGAAAACTTTGCCGTAATTGGTGTTCCAACCGTGTTGATTGTACAAGTGTTGATTTTGATGAAGGAAACGGCGACTGTTGGTATCAACTAGGACCGATTGACTACGCTGGAAAATGGGGCGGGAACAAATGGGACACTGGAGGCGGCAACTACCATATGAGAAAAATAGAAGCATGTGGCAAGTATATTTTGAACAAACATTTTCTATTACACTCTGATGAAATATATCTTGTTTCAGCATTATTTCTGAAAGTATGATTTTCTGGGAAATGTTCAGGTTTTATTTAATATCGTTCCCAAATTGACAAACGCGTTACCTGCACTAACATCTGTATTTCATTATTAGACAGCAACACGGCACTCACATTCGACAACTTAGACGACAGTGCCTTTGAATCAAGTTCTGTACAAGATAATAACATGATGTCATTTGGAGCCCAACTGAGCAGACTAAGTTCTTTCACGGGATGGTTTGCAGACCCATCACAAATTGGCTACGCTTGGATACAAGTCACATTCCCAGAAATCAGGTACTGTTTTTATACCATAGTCAAAACAATATCATAACAGCAAGTGATATATCACATATTTGGGACAGGGACGATATCAGGGATGATATCGGGATTAGAGGGATGATATCAGGGTTGATTTTGATATCATCCCGAGTAAATCATTTTTTCTAAAAAACATTTTTGCTCTTGACCATGGACCATGGAAATAATCTTAAAGGAATCATGCAGATCATTTGTTTTTTTTCATATCACTTCGTATCCGTTTCACTTTTAAGTATGACTCTTTCTAACATTATATATCATGGGCATCTGAAGCATCAGTGCATCAAGTTACAGACCAGCACTAGGCTTATAAAGAGGAGAAGAACTTTCAGAAAAAAGTTACTCCTGGTCCAACATAGTCAGATTTAGTCGTCGTGACTCGTCTCTACCAGCGCCATTCGAAATTGTTACGATCACCAAGCAAATGATGGATAAGCAAAACAACTTATTTACAAATTAAGTTTTCATTTTCAGTTGACATTAACTGTATACATTTCTCCATATCTGGTCTGTAACAATAATATCTGGTAAATAAATTTCTTTTAGAAATCTAAACTCCTCGCATACACGTGGTATTCACTATTCATCTCCAATAACGTTCACATTTTCTGCTGAACAAAACTTACAAAAGCGTAGTTCCCTTGGCACATAATTTATTTGACCCATTTCAATTTTGAATGACTGATTGCTACATCTCAATCGAGTTAAAGCAACTCTAAATTAATTTATATTTACACAGGAGAGACATTTTTCTCTTTCCATCCTGTTTTAATATTACAATATGTTACCATTTTCCATCTCTGTTTTAATATTAGAATACTGTGTTACCATTTTTGGCATTTCTGATAGTCTAGCAGCCCACTCTTGACAGCAAATGTCTTTTAGCCTCTGCTTAAAACATAAATTAAAAAGGTCCACATCACCTAATTCTTTGAAAGCCCAAACATCACCAAAGCCATAACAATAACTTTCTAGCATGTGTTGCCCATGTAATGTGGCCTGTTGAATCAAGGTTCTCTAACATAGAATGACAATGTTTTTGGATTCTTCCATTTTCCATCTCCATATTTAGTTTTAAAACACATTTTGATATATATGGTACATAATGGGTATCGTCCACATTCCCCTAGAACTGCCTCATTTGTTGTTTGTGATGCAACTTTAAGAAATGATTTACAAAATTTTATTTTTAAACCTTTTTAAAACCTCAATATTTCTGAACCATATGTCAAAATAGGAAGCGTCGGAGAATGGAAAATTCTAAATCCCATTTCAAATGATTATGAGCCACCTAATTTTGAGATTTTGTTTATGACATGGAGTGACTTTCCACCTTTGGCTTTGCACTTTGACTTTCCACCTTTGGCTTTGCACCTTTGACTTTGCATATTTTCAACAGTGTGATTTAAAAGAACGATGCCATCCGCGTATAATGGTAACAATCAAATGTCGTGCCAACTTTTTGGTGTGAATTCATGTCAACTGATATAGGCTCTCCAAGTTTCGAAATGGTATGATGGTTTTAGATATCAAATGCACCATAGACTAACGGTCGTGTGCTTTATTCTCTTTCAGAATTGTAGCGTCTGTTACAACCCAAGAGGCACTGACTCCTTGTGATGACAGCTGTCAGGTTGGAGACTCTCGCGCAAAATCGGTCAACGTCCTTTACAGGTCAAGCAGGAACGATGAATGGACAGCGTACAAGCTTTACGGGTCTTCTGTTCCAGAGGTATTCCCCTAACTTCAATCTTTTTCACGAAATAGAAAGATACACCTGAAATGGCTATTATACTTGAACAACTAGCGCAGGGCAGCAATATACGTGTTGCGAACAGATTTTTGTGTCACTCATATATTCGTTAATCTTCAGTCTTTATGACATGATTTTGTTGTTCATTTCTCACAAATCCACGTGATAAAAATCTCCAGGCGACCGTCACGTCTAAAAATCGGCTGATGGCACTCGATAATCGTCCGGCGTACAGTGTTCGGACTTGTCGACCGATTTTGAACAAAAAACTCATCGACCGGGCGCCTGACTGAAAATCTGAGCATATGTGACCAAGTAATTACACGTACACGATCACGTTCACGTATCGATCTTATGTGCAAGCTGATTTCTTCATGAGTCCCAATAAGCTCCCATTCAGACCTTGAGCCGTCACGCGCAATGTGCATGTATCTCTCGAGGTTTATATTTACATGTAATGTTTCAGATTTTAAATACGGACAGTAATAGTCCTATCGAGAAAGGAATCCAGATACCATTTAAGGCAAGACAAGTTCGGCTCGTCATTTTAGATTCTTCCCACACACCTGCCACCAGATGGGATTTATCAACATGTGTGGATACAGGTATTGCAACAACTTACATTATCATTGTAGCTACTTGGATTCAACAGGGAATGAACATTAAAACCCGTATATTCCCCATGAAGAAAAATCCAAAAATGCAAAACATAAACAAGATTTGAAAATCTTCCCAAAATCAACAGAATGAGTAGTTCAGCAGCGATTTTCTTATAAGACGAATCTCCTGTATAGGGCCAACAAGGAAACATTTGTGGCATAAAAATTACATGTTTTTATAGGTGCTCTAAAAGTTTGCCGCATCTCCCTTTGAGTGTAAAGAAGTTTAGTTTGGGTAACTTCATTTATTGTAAATTGCAATATTTGCAAAATATCTTCCAACCTATTAAAATAGTATGTGCTCCATAGTTTATTACTTTAGGTAATAACATTTACTGTAATGTGACGAAAGACGCCAAGTAGAAAAATCGGCGTTGCACTTCAAATCAAAGGTCATATTTTTGTAATGACAGTCTCAGCTAAAGGGGCATATGCAGTGTCGAGAGCGGGAACTAATTCTAAGTTACAAGGATATTTGGTGAAAAAGATGTGACAGTTTGTCAGTATTGTCAAAATGTGTCTTTTTGGTCATTATCAGTCAAGACTTATTATTAACTTAATTCAACTTCATAGTTTACATACTTTATATAGTAGTACTCACTAGTCAAGTAGGTCAACATTGAAAACTATATTGATTTTCAGTAAGTCATTTGAGGTCAAAGGTCATCATGAATTTGTTTCCTCGATCAAAGGTGCATGTTTATGTTTATGGCAGTATGGCAAGTGATTTTAGTGATTTTAGACAATAGGTTCAACATGTTGATAAAATTGTTGACATAGGGTCCGTATTCATAATTCTTTGAATTGTTCGATTGATATTTTATCATCATGGGTATTCCACTTGAAAGAAAACATATTGTTTTAATAAAAACCACTACACTTATGCTCAGAAAGTACTCATGGTGAAAGATATGACCGTCTAAAATCACTCGCCATACTGCACATGGACCTTTAAAATCTATTTAATGGAAAAATAACTTTCGTAACCTTATTATATCCTTATTCCTGACCCCTGTTCCTGACACCCGACCCCTGTTGACACCCAACCTCTGTTCCTGACACTTTGTCCTTTCTTATAATATTCTCAAATCCTGGGGCAAATGACGTTCATTCCTTCGATCCCCGTTTGTCCATCCGATAGACGATTTAGCACCGTCTAGTCTAGTCCAACAACATTAGACCTAGCCTGGGCCTCTTTCTTATCTGACATGTCTTATGGCCCCGGCTAGGTCTAACTTCCATGATGATTTTGCCCTTGATGCGATCATTTAATCGTTCAGCAGGTTTCGACATGCGGAACTAATTAAACTCCGAAAACATTAATATTACATAAAGAATGTGATTCAAGCATGCATACATACCTTATAAATACATACACACCATCCCGTACCCCCCTTAGACCATATTGATGCATAATTACGAAAATATTGGAGACAGGTTTGGAATTTTACGAAAATATCGGTCAGCTCCGGTAACATCGTATCAGGAATTAACCGTCATTGCGACACTGCATCAACGAACAGTAGGTTTGCAATTAATAACGATTTTGTGTGTATACAAGCGCTATATAAATCAATCAAAGATACCTGCTATCCTCAAAAATGGCTATTTTATCCCGAGTAATCGCGTGATAATTATCAATCTATTTGACAACAATTTCGTTTCAATAGTTTAAATTTTAACCCGGGACGAACAGACACAATGAAGGACATGCGGAAATGTCATTTTAGAGATTGGTAAGTTTAACCTCATTTTACTTGTATAAATGACCATTTAATACAATAATATTGTGTTGAATCGCTTGATGTTATGTGTTTTTATATTGTTGTCAAGTATCAGTTGCATGTTATCGCGGAAAAATGGTTTCGGTGGATCCAAAACTTGCATCAATGGAAAGAATAGTAAAGAGGTTAAACTCAATAATGGCCCCAAGAAAATTCTTAATAATAAATAACGCCGTTATTGAGTTTAACGACGTTGAACTACGTCTAGTCTAGACTATAGGCAATCGAACAAGTTAAGGCACAATCGTTTTAGAAAATTTCGAATGGCGAACAATCAAACAGTACAGAACTAATATTAATCATAGACAAGAAAAATGTAATGATTTTAATAATGAGAAATGACGATTGACGTAAACAAACCTCGTGTTCTCTGTTCATGGGAATACGTAATCCTTTGATAGAGATTGCAGGGGGTAAATTGAAATCTCAACATCAACTAATCAAAACGTCAGCTGTAATCCGCACACTTGTAACTTCTTTAATTTGTTTTTATGCATCTACTGATTGCAGACAGGTCGACAACAGCAGCCTATCAAAAACTTGGAACAGATTCTATCGGATCTTTGGCTCCTCTGAAAATAGTGAACGTTCGATCGCTGTTGGAGTGTCACGTTGCGTGTAGAGAGGTCAACTGCATGGCCTTCAACTATCAGTATCATTCACCGCCATTACAAAATAGACACGAGTGCCAACTATTGATGACAGCGTCGGGGCCTCTGATTTCGTCAAATGGATATGTCTACTATGAGAGAGTGTGATATAAACATTACATAAAACACTGGACGTTGCTTAAAGGCAGAATCAGATCTATAGTGGTGACAAAATTACAAGCAACATGTTTAATTGACCTACAAATCTATTCCTTACAATCTCAAATACAATATCTCCCAAATATTCACGATATCGTGTAATTTGGTGAAGTTATTATGGATTCAAATTGCAAAAATGGGTGAAAAAATGTATAACTTCTCCCAAATAATAAGAATGGCAACCATTCTTATAGAAAAATAATACATAATCGTAAAAATCTTTTGTTTAGATAGACATGACAAGGAATGATATGAGCCAGAAATATTCTTAAATTGAAAACAAATTGATGGCCTGTTTGCTAGATCTGATTCTCTCTTGTTAAAGCATGATTGTCTTTTATGGGACTTAGCATGCGGCGGGAACCCGATTCCAAATGCCAGCATTTACGACACTAGTACATTAGGTCACCTGCAATTCATGTACTTAAATTATTTTCAAACTTGTTTTAATTTAATTCAAGTATGTAAAAATGATTATTCTGTAATGTCCAACTATTTCAACGACTGGCGTTTAATCGATAATGATTATTCATAATTTTCATTGAGATACACTAAATAAACATATTCATATCACCAACAGTAACTTAAATGTTCATTTAGCAGCTCAGACAAGGAAAAATGAAAAGGATGTTTATGTTGTTCAATACATAATTACTGTCCTTATGTCACAAGAATGGAAAAGAATGGCCGGAAGAAAATTTGTAAGTGAAATGTGACTAGTGGATATATTCAATGTTTGGTAATCCACTGGTGATCCGCTCGATTACGCTGATTACCGAAACGGTTCTCGTTCGGTAACAAAATGTCGGAACGTCGAAGGTACGATTTCTCTTTTTCCTTATTTCACGCGTTGTAGGGAGAATCCCCAATACATTTCTTCACACAAACGTGTATCAGTATCTTATGTTTTAGAAAATGTACATGTTTGGGAATCAATAGCTCAGAAGACAACATAATCGTCGATTTAATTCCTCACTTAAGTTACGGAAATGGTATAGGGTTAAAAGTACAGATCTTAACTGTTTGTCGAAATACGTTTATACTGATATACGTCTGTGATAAAAATCTCGTGGGAATTCTGCCTACAACGTGTGAAATAAGGAAAAAAGAAAAATCGTACCTTTTTTGACAATTTGTTACCGAAACGAACGAACCGTTTCGGTAACCAGCGTAATCGAGTGGATCACCAGTGTAATCGACGTAAAGTATGTAGTTTACGCTTTACCTCAGCCATATTTGCCCTTCTGCGGCCATACGACAGCCGTATCCTTACCCCCCTATCACACCAAACTAGTTCTTACCCGTTCTTGCCAGTCCTACGAAAACGTCGTAGAACGGGCTCAATCTGGCTGTGGTCGGGAAATATGTCTAAAATAATTAGCTACTTCGTTCATAAACAGTCTTCAATACGTCCATCTCATTCGCAGTTCGTTCAGGTCGCACCACGTCGGTGTGCAACGTCGTATAACGCGTCCATTAGTCTTGAAGATCATCATGACCTGATTACAGAACGGTATGGCCGCCATCGAATTTTGAATCGATTCAAAATTCTAAATCACATTCCCTGTCCGGGAAAGTCCATGAAGTTCGTAAACAGACCGTAGAACATTGTAGCTACGTTCATTCCGTTCGCACACAGTTTAAAACCAGTTTTGAAGAACGTAGTGGCAACTTGCTTGGTGTCAATCTAGAGGACCTACCCGTTCGAGTACGTTCTATGAAGTTTGTAAATAGACCCCAACCGGTTCTAAGTACGTCCAGTCCGTTCGTACACAGTTGAAGCCCGTTTTCGAGAACGTAGTGAGAACTAGTTTGGTGTGATAGTAGGGTTTGACGTACTAAGAACCCACTAAGAACCGTTTGGCATCTGTTTACAAACTTCATGAAACTACTAGAACGAGTAGGTCCTCCAGCACTTAGAGCATGCTCAACATTTTCTGGTGATCATCAAAACGTTGCTGAATTGGTTTTAAACTGTGTGCGAACTGAATGAACGTAGCTACAACGTTCTACGGTCTGTTTACGAACTTCATGGACTTTCCCGTACGGGGTATGTGATTTAGAATTCATTTAGAATTTTGAATCGATTCAAAATTCGATGGCGACCATACCGTTCTGTAATCAGGTCATGATGACCTTCTAGACTAAAGGACGGTTTATACTACGTTGCACACCGACGTGATGCTACCTGAACGAACTGCGAACGAGATGGACGTATTGAAGACTGTTTATGAACGAAGTAGCTAATTATTTCAGACATATTTCCCGACCGCAGCCAGATCGAGCCCGTTTTACGACATTTTCGTAAGACTGGCAAGAACGGGTAAGAACTAGTTTGGTGTGATAGGGGGGTTACAAAATCGTTATCTACATCGTACAGTCGCACTGCTTATCCCTACATTTCTCTGTACGTAGATGCACAACATGGCGAAACGAGTCATTAACATGCAAAATGTTACCACCTGTCATTTTTACAGAGGCCGAACACCAACCGCCGAACGGCGAACACCAACCACCGAACACGATCCGCAAAAAAGTTGGACACTATATTATGTATGATATGTTGTCACTTACGGTGGTGACATAAAAATGGTTAAATGAATATCGAAGGTCGGCGTCAATCGAAAAATTATGAAATCTTACTTAATTGAAAATGTACGATTTTTCAATACGTGCGCTCCAATCAAATTCAGCACTCGTTCCAACCTCACCCTCGTAAAAGTGTTAATATCGTCTGAGATATCGTTGACCTCGCAGGGTTGATCTTCAAATCTCTACTTTTTAACTGCAATCTACTTCATGCTGGTGTATGTTGGCCAACGACAGATTGGTAAGGACGATAAGAAGGTTTGGGTAGTGCCTTCAGTGCATAGAGATCGAGAGTTGATTGCACTGGATTAGCCTTCTATCTACAAAAACTACTATAGATTAATTGACACAATAATACTTGGAGGCTGTGCGTAGCTACATATAGACTACTCACCCTTGAAATTCTGGCCCTGTGGGTATTTTTGTGTCGGACTCAAATTTAGAATAATAACAATTGTGCTTCAAAGCCAGAAGAGAAAAGGGACATGGCGTTTCAAATTGGATCAATCGTTGGAAAGGTGAACGAATTTACTATTACATACTATTTTATTGTATTTATTTTATAATGAGATTCTAAGATGTCTGTCAAAAGTACACCCTGTCTGTTTATGACTGATACAATCCATTTTTTGTATTTTGAAATAAAAGAATCGATATAATCAAATATATACATATATATATAAGAATTGAATATCTGATAAAAATTGAAGTAATTTAAAGTTTAAGATTTGAAATTGAAAACAAAACAGAGATGTCCACGTTCTACTTATTGTATTACGACTCCAAATCAAAATCAACAGAATTGGCATAACGAGGAGCAAAACACAAAACTATTGTAAAATTCTGACGGATCTTCCCTTGTCGCCATATACATAGTTTCCTTACACAAATGAAAATTTGAATCTCCTATACATATAATTATCAAACGTTTAGCTTGATACTTGGGGCCAAGGTGTACTTCACATTCAATATTATGATCTCCAAGCGAGTCACGTTATCTTTTGACAACAATCCAAAAAACCATTAACCACTTTATCTCACTTATAATGAGCCAAGGCTCTTGATAAGTGTCTTATTAATTGATAGAGCCCGATGAGTTATAGATCTAACTTCGAGTGTAAAACGATACTTACTTACAAAATATAAATACATTTACTAATTAGAAACTGGTTCATTACCACAAGGTAAATTACAATGGGACATTGACCCGTTGACTTAAAAATAAATTGCAATTTAACAAAAAGAAAAATCTTAAAAAATCTGCCATGCTGCGTCATACTTGACATCGATTGCACGACATTATGTATTTATGTTCGTTTGATTGTACGTTCAAATTGAAATGTTCGACTTTAAGATTAAACATTAACCATCTTCATGCAAAATTGCAAGTGGATGGAAAAGAACAAAACCTGTATGGCTCATGCCCTGTTGTCGGTTAGCCGTTCGGTACTAGCGGTTGGTGTTCGGACTTCGGCAGTCGACGTGTGCAACAAATTCTTACAACTTCCAATTACTTAGACTGACTTCAATTTTTTAATGTCAGCAAGTGCGATCTTGACTGATGCTTACATTATGTACATGCGCCTCTTGTGTTATTTCAATGGGAGGATTTTTTGAAAAATAAGTTTGACTTTGAAGACCTATCACTTTTTTAAACCTGAAGAAATTTTTATTAGATAAAGTTCAATTGACTACCTTAATTGTATTTTTGCAAGAACTCGGATGGATGAATATTCTGTCATATGACTAACAGCAAATCTACCATTCCCCATTGGTTAACATTGGATTGTCGATTTTAAAAATTCATCAGATTTATCATCAATTTTCGACCTATTGTAATTGAGGAAAAAATTGGGATAATTTGGAGGCATTGGAAATATGAAGTCAAGTTACATTCCCATCAATATTATAAGTATTTTCTTCACAGGTTATGTAAATAAACATTCAAACATAAAGAGGCTTTAGAATACATAGCTAATGAGAAAACTTATATCAAGACAAAAATTTGGATGTTTTTGACCAACCGTATGTATGATATTGTATATACATTTTTAGTATTACATTCCCAATTTATTTACAGTCTATTGTGTGATTGTAGGTATCCGAACGGATCTCCAAAATGTTAGCAGTTGTAAAGAAAGAGGTTGTTAGAGGTCTAGTCTTCAATGGTAATGTGATGCGATGGAGCACCGCCAGACCAAGTGGAGTTTCTTATTAGCCAATATCACAAAACTTCTAACTGCCTGACAAGCTACAAAGATTTTGCCATGAAAGATACAACAGCAACAATGTTGTGGACCATTTACCTTTCAAAAGAGTCAGTGTGGGTTTTAATTTATATATGAACCATTCGTACTGGCTCTTAGAAGAAATAATGGCATGGGGCTGTTATTTCACCTTATACCTTGTACACATGGTTTATGCATTATTTAAGTAATATTAAGGTGGGTCAAGTTGGACACAACTGGGACCCGTTTGCAGAGAACGTCAGTATATATGTCTGCAGCCAGATTACTAGATTATAGTACTCATTCTACTCGGTCTACCTTAAATTTAATA